ATCTTTAACTAACTCAGTTTCTGAGTCCAATTCTAGTAAAACATTATATATCCTTCTAATATGTCCTTTAGTATCATCCCTTACTTGTTTCAAAAAGTTCCCATTTTCCATAAAAGAAGCAGTTTTTTTATCAATTCGCCATCTCTCTTGAATTTGTCTATACACAAGCCAAGAAAAGTCTGGATACTTCCGTCTCAAAGCATCTATTGATTTGAGGCACCATTCCCATAATACTTTATCCATACAGTGTCCTCTGATGGAGAAGCCCTTCTGTGTGTCCCATAATGGAAGTATGATTAGTGGAACAAGAAGGGCCTTCTGACTGACATCACATTAACTAGGGGACCGTGTCTCACAGAATTGGTACCTTCTCTGCTCATTGTCTGTTCAAGGCCTTCTTATTTTGGAAGATGCTTGTTTCCCAGGCAGACTACATAATGCTCGATACATTTAACTGTTGTACCTGCCTTTATTGTCACTTCTGTTTGTCTGCCTTTGGTTTTTCTTTTCAACACATTCCATTATGCATAAGCCTTAATCGTTTATTTATTTTTTATTTATTAAATTTATTTGCTGCCCATCTTGTCACACGGCAACTCTTTTTAACTGTTCCGAGGGAGCTACACGTACAAGAAAAATGGGATCTCCCTCTAATTCATACACAGACATACACAAGCACACGTGTAAAGGTAGAGATCCCTTTTGTTAGCTGAAATCTTCTCCTGAGTTCACGCTCCTTATTTGTTTCCAGGCACTCCCAGTTTAGCCCCCTTACCTTTCCGGAGAGGCTGCTTGTGATTGAAGGTCTGGGGGACCACCAGGAACTGGCTCTCTCCCAAGGGCTCCCAGAAATGGAAAAGGCGGATGGTCCAAGCACCTGGGCGAAGGGGCCGACTGAGAGGCGGTTTGTACTGTGTGTACTCTGCATCTGCATCTACTGTGATATCATAGGACGTGGCGATGATGTAGGTGGGGTCAATCCAAACGACGGTGGCCGTGAGGTTGGGTCCCCGTGCCCATTTCTGCATGGCCACTGGTTCGTCGAAAGGCCCAATCAGGCCACCAAAATTGCGGAAGATCCTCTCTTTGGGGTCCCACTCAGTACCTACCTGTTAAGAAGGAAGGGACAGAAAAGAGGTGTTTGTAATGGGGAAGAACACCCACCCACAGCACGGACAGGATGCTCTTCAATAGGCAAGAAACATTTAGAACGTTTCATCGAGTAAGCACATGGAAAAAAAAATACAGGTGGTCCTCGACCTACGACCACAATTGAGCCCAAAATTTCCCTTGCTAAGTGAGACAGTTATTAAGGGAGTTTTGCCCCATTTTACCACAATTGTTAACTGAATCATTGCAGTTGTTAAGTTAGTAGCATGGCTGTGGGGTTAATCTGGCTTCCCCATTGACTTCACTTGTCAGAAGGTTGCAAAAGGTGATCACATGAACCTAGGAACACTGCAACCGTCATAAGTATGAATCGGTTGCCAAGTGTCTGAATTTTGATCATATGACCATGGAGATGCTGTAACAATCGTTAAGTGTGAAAAAGTCAGAAGTCACTTTTTTCAGTGCTGTTGCAACTTCGAACGGTCACTAAACGAACAGTTTTTAAGTCGAGGACCAGCTGTATTCCTACACAAAGATAGAATACATCATCATCATCATCATCATCCATCATCATCATCAAGTTGGAAGGGACCTTGGAGGTCATCTGGTCCAACCCCCTGCTCAGGCAGGAAACCCTATACCATTTCAGACAAATGGCTGTCCAGTCTCTTCTTAAAAACCTCCAGTGTTGGAGCATTCACCGCTTGTGGAGGCAGGTTGTTCCACTGGTTAATTGTTCTAACTGTCAGGAAGTTTCTCCTTAGTTCTAGGTTGCTTCTCTCCTTGATTAGTTTCCATCCAAATGCCATAAGCATTTCTATTTCAAATGCTGTTAGAAAAAAAACCTTTTTTCTGCCGGCATATCCGCAGAGAAAAAGATTTAGAATTTGCCTTGTCTAAGGCTTTCCTCGTTCAGTGACCCACAAGAGAGTTCATATCATATACATGGGCAGCACTATTCAGAAAACACAGTCTGGGTTGACACCATTCTTCTCAAGATGACCCATCTGGATGGAAAGATTCACACATCACAAAGGCAAAGTCTTCCCCTTTCCAGTCATGTTTGACTCTAGGGGGCAGTGCTCATCTCCCTATCTTAGCCGAGGGAGCCAACATTATCTGAAGACATTTCTGTGTTCATGTGGCCAGCATGACTATACACCAGGCCGCAGGGGTAGGCAACCTCGGCTCTTTTATGACTCGTGGACTTCAATTCCCAGAATTCCTGAGTCAGCATAGCTGACTCAGGAATTCTGGGAGTTGAAGTCCACGAGTCATAAAAGAGCCGAGGTTGCCTACCCCTGCACCAGGGGTAGGCAACCTTGGCTCTTTTATGACTCGTGGACTTCAACTCCCAGGAATTCTGGGAGTTGAAGTCCATGAGTCATAAAAGAGCCAAGGTTGCTTACCCCTGCTATACACCAAGGTGCATGGAACGCTGTTGCCTTCCCACTGAGGTATTTAGCTACTCGCATTTGCATGCTTTCAAACTGCTAGGCGGGCAGGAGCTGGGGCAAGAAACGGGAGCTCACCTCATCCTGCAGCACTTGGGTCTTGAACCCAGGCTGTCAGCTTTCCAGCAGACAAGCTCAGTGTTTTTAACCGCTAAGGCACTGCGCTCCCTCACACATCATACCACCCTATTAATTATATCATAGCACCTCACAGCCACATAGGACAGAATCATGAAAAAAAGTGAAGTTCTGTGACTGCAGAGAAGGCTACTTCAGTCATATTCAATTCCTACAGTCTTGCTTTTGGGCTTTTCTTCACAGATCACATTCTCAACCACAGAATTCTTTTCTTGCCCAAGTATTCTTCGATGACCTTGTTTTGAATGGAGGAGGTCATCTTTTCTTTGCCTCATACTTTTCATAAGCTTCATACAGCTCAGGGAATAAAGACTAATCTCTGTCTCCACTTGCTGGCCTACTGAATGTCACAGTCAGGAACAGACAGAATTGTTGGAGGAAGCTGCAAAATATTGAAGCAAGGACTTCTCATAAAACAGAAATGCACTTCAAGTGAAATTGTTATATATTGTTGAGACGGTGCTTGTCAAGTCCATCCACAGTCGCTGACTACCATGTTTTCCTTCAAGAAGCTGAATTAATTATTGCATCTTCTGATGTCAGCTGCATATTGATAAAATGTGTGTGTGTGTGGGGGGGGGGAGGTGAATACATTGGTTGAAGCAGAGAGAGCATTTGAATTAATAAGAACCAGGAGAGAACAACAGAATAGCTAAACAGGAATCCCACCTCAAGATTCTGCAAACGGTTGGCTGACTTGCCATTAGCGGCTAATTTGAGAGTCCCACGGGGCATCATCCATATTTCTAGAGACTCCATCTGTTGAGTTGCAGAATTCTGAACTTCCTGAGTCACCAAGTAGCCCTGGAAATGGTCATCATAAAAATACAAGTGGACACTGGATGGAAAACCCTGTGGCTCAAACCTAGAGAAATATGATAACAATTACAATAATATTAATCATAGCAGTAGTAATAGCAATAGTAATAACAACCCTGAATAGCACTTACAAATAGTCAGAATATTTCATATGCATAACTTTTCATATGAAAAGTTCATTATTATTATCCTTCATATTGCAGATGGAAAAACTGAGTCAGGTAGAGAAGTTGCTTACTATGGCCCATCTGAAAGTAGAAGTGAGAATCAACCCACCAATTTCCAAATTTGAAATTCACAACAAAATGTTCTGAGTTCCAATGAGTTCAATGGGTTTATTTTCCACTGAGGTCTTAGTTTTTTAGCCAGTCTAAAATATCAGTTCTCAAAACCGACATGATAGATGTAGATACTTCTACATCTATGAACCATCTATAGACTATTTCAAGACCAAGGAGACCTATTGGAATAATACTGTTTTATTAATTTGATCTTGTCTTTTTTTCATGAGCTGAAGGTGATATCCATCATGGTTCCTCTTCCAAGGTTATCCATACAACAATTCACTTCCTCAGTAAGATGCATAGTGAATCACTCAGCCAAAGTCATTCAGTGAGCTTCCATAACTGAATATGGATTTGAACCTGAGTTGTCCTGATCCTAATTGAAAATTCTGATGACTACTTACTTTGAGCATCCAATCCACTGAAAAAGTAAAGTTGTTTTATGCCAGTAAGTCCATCAACCCATTTTAGATATCCCAAATGACAGCAATCTCTACAGACAGATACTAGAAGCAAAACTTGGATTGCCTGTTTGTAAAACCTAAATCCCATGAGATTTAAGTCTTTCTCCAAAGGTAAAGTATCCCATCCCTCTGGCAAGAAGGGAGATCCAAAGGACCAGGTAGTGAACTTTTAAGCAGGATAGGACATGCCTTTTCCCTTCAGGACAAATGACCGATGTGCCAGAAATCCAGACCAAGCTCTCCCACCTCAAAGCAACCCCAGGCTCTGTCACATGCTTGCGCTACCTGCATGGCCTGTCTTTTTTCTGGATTGTTGCAGAGATCATTTTCTGTAGCCCCAGCCTGGAGAAGGATGTGTACACAGTCAGGATGACGTCGCTGAACCCACTCAGCCCATCCACATGGTCATAGACACTCTCCCAATAGGCCTTGAGGGCTGGCGTGTTAGCTGGGTAGTTACCATAGAGATGAGTGTCCAAGATTTCCAGCACCTCCTGGTTGATGGTTGACTCAAACTTCCTGGCAAAAAATGTAGGTCTGGAGAGTTGCTGAAAAGAAAAAAACATTTGGAAAATGGGACAGAGAGAGAAACAGAGGGAAAAGTTTCACAACATGATTCAGAGCTAAATCTGTAACACTAAAAACAGAAACTTACCAGAAAGCAGTGTGCACTTGGAATCTAAAACTTTCCAATATAATAATTGTTCTAAAATATCTCTCGCAAAATCCTGGAAATTAACAGAAGCTCCCAAACCCCACATACTTGTATATGAAAATGAATTAGCCACCATTTTGAAAATTAACTTATTTTTGCAAGGGCCAATAAATCTTTGATAATAATAAACATGGTTATTAATTATAAACCATTGATATATAAAACCTCAGGAGAAGAAAAAGTATATATGGATGAAATCCATATTATGATAATTATTTTGGTCTTTGGTTTTTTTACTCTTAACTTAGGAACATAGAAAATTGACAGCAGGAAAAGACCTACTGGTGTATTGAGTCTGCCCTTTGGGTTTGTTTTTTGTTTTCTTTTTAATTAATTAATTAATTTACTATTCTTTATTATTTTAATTTTTGTCAAATGATGGATATGTGTTTATCTCACACGTGTTTAAATTCAGTTATTGATGATTGGCCTGCCACCTCTGCTGGAAGTTGATTCCAAGCTTCCACTACTCTTTCTGTGAAGTAATACATTCTAACATTACTTTTAAACTTCCCTCTTGCCAGTTTGAGGTGAGGCCCTTGTGTTCTTGATTTTGTTTAATATTGAAAATACTGCCAAATACTTATTGCATTTTATTTGCTTTTAAGGAGGAGAGGGGGAGGAGGACCACCAGAATGAAAACAATCTCTTGATTTCATCCCGGTGCAAAAGAATTCACTGTCAAATGCTAGCTATGTAAAAATAAAAGAAAAGGCTAAAAGCAACATCTTATTCCACGTTACAGTCGGGGCGGACCCAAGAAGCTAAAATTGTTGCTCAGCAAAGAGGAAGTGGGTAACCCAACCTGGCTGACCTTGCCTGAGGTTCAAAATGAAGTAGAATTGAAACTGGCTGGTATTTTGATGATGGGAGAGTATCAAGGTATTCCAGGGTGTGAGTTAGATTGGAAAGTCAGAAAAACACATCCTGAAGGAAGGAATGGCAAATGATTTCTATACTGCTGCCGTGAAAACTGTGTGGATGAATTTGAGTTTGACTGAAGGGCATATTCTTGTTATTGTTCTGCTATTTTGCCTGCACTGAGCTACTACGGTTTGTGCAAATGAAACAGAGAAGGATGAGTAACTTCCTGAGGGCAGAAATAAAGTTACATTATGCCGAAAATGGAAATGTCTGGGGTACCTGCAGTCTCAAGAAGTCCTGTGGTTTGAAGTCATTTGGGGAACATCCGCACCAATCAACAATGTGCTTATATTGGCACTTGCAGCCCAGCTTGCGGTTCCAGTTTGTCACCCGGAGGTTGTTGTCTACCAAGGTCTCACAGGCATGGCTGTTCTCCAAGACAGTGTGGAAAAAGGACTGTAGGAGAGGAGGAGAAGCATCGTGAGAAATTTGGCTCCACCAAGGCAGAGATTACCATGCTTCTCATGCCCACAAGGCACTCATTCTAAACTTAGAACTTTATTTGAAGGGCAGGACTCCACCTTCTGAAAAACCCTTTCTCACTCTGAAAGAAAAGCCACATGCTGCAGAAGGAACCTCAAAGGGAGGCGATCGAATTATTATTATTATTTTGTTGCAACAAGTCATTCAACCAGCGAGCCAGCCAGCTGCCACCTAGCCTGATTTCTCAATCAGTTAGCAGATGTTTGCCTTGACTTTTTACTGTATTCACTTTGCAAGAGGTTGAAAACTGTCAGAGAGTGGCCAGAATAACAGGACAATGATATTATCGGCAATCTCCTCAAGGAACGATCTATCTGGATCTCATGCCTCACCTTCTGCAGTTATAAAGTCTGGTGTAGGAATCCTTTGAAGATAAGAACAGCCTACAACTGGCAGATCGTACATTTGTGTTTGCAGAATACTGAGACTGAGAAAGGATAGTTCTTAATATCCCTAAATCTGCATACTAGCACTAGCACTTATAAACCGCCTCTTAGTGCTTCACAGCCCTCTCTAAGCAGTTTACAGAGTCAGCATATTGCCCCCAACAACTTGGGTCCTCATTTTACCGACCTCGGAAGGATGGAAGGCTGAGTCAACCTTGAGCCAGTCAGGATCAAATTCCTGGCAGTGGGAAGAGTTTGCCTGCAATACTGCACACTAACCACTGCACCACCAGGGCTCCTCAAACACGCCCTCTTTTCAAGTATCCCAAGCATCTAGGTTAGCAATCAACTAACAGAAAAGTTAACATTTCAGCCTGATACTGATATTCTTGGGGAAGCCATTGTTTCTAAAACCAGCCTCTTTCAAAGCACTTGGAACTGTGCTACTGATATTATGGGCATCTCACTTGATTCCAAGTAAGAGATTCTCATCTGAGGAGTCTTTGCTGAACATCAGAAGACCTCTGAAAAGGAGCTTCCCTGTCCCCACTGCTGTTACTCAACTTTGCAGTTACAGATAGTCCTTGACTTGCAAATGGTTGTTTAATGAGTGCTTAAAGTTACAACGGCCTTAGAAAGGATGCTTTATGTAAAGCTCTTCTGGCCATCATAAAATATCATGCTCCCCTCCACCCCGGTTGCATTTCAGGTGCTTGGCAATCAGCTTCTATTTTATGACTGACTGCAGTGTCCCATGGTCATGTGACCATGAGTTGCAATGTTCTGGCATGGACGATGTTTTTTGGTTTTTTTAGCAACCATTTCATTTACAGAACTTACAGAAGGAACCTTGCAGGTCTTCTAGTCCAACCACCTGCTCGAGCAGGGAACACTATATTATTCTGTACAAATGGTTGCCCAATCTCTTCTTTAAAACCTCCAGTGATGGAGCACCCACAAGTTATTCCACCCATTAATTGTTCTCACTGTCAAGAGATTTCTCCCTAATTCTAGGTTGGATCTCTCTTTGATAATCTTCCATTCACTACTTAATGACTGTGTGATTCAGACTCAAGAGATTCGTTTAATGACTGCCATAAAAACTGTTGAAAAATCAGGTCTGGTCATATGGGTGCCTCAACTCATGACTGCAATGACCTATGACTGAAATTTTAGCCACAATTGTGATCACAAGTCAAGACTATCTATTATGTGAAAATTATTTTGCGGGTATATTACACTTAGGACTGGCACCGGGCTGTGGTATGCCAGAAATTGAGCCGTGCAAACAAGCAAAGCCTCATCCGTGGGATCCGGGCAGCACGTAAAACCACGCCCCCTCCGATCCGCAGAAAAACTTCTTTCCATGGAACCGGTCTCTGGTGCCCAAAATGTTGGGGGCCACTGACTTAGAACTTTGTTATGAAAATGAAGAAAGAAATTAAGTTTCTTATCTGAAGACTAAATGTGAACAGAGAAAATTTAAGATACCTGTAAAGTCCACCTCATGTATTTCACTGCCTTCTGCACTAAGTTATAAATAAATATTGATTTTATGTACTTATGTCCTTCTATGCAATGTAAAGGTACAAAAATTAAAAAAGAAAAGAAAAAATTTAGCTCCATCATGGATAGTTTCTTCATTCATTAGAAAAGTTAAGGGGGAAGCATGTGCGAGCATATAAAAACCCAATTTATTTTCTCAACTGCACGTATGAAAGTCAATATCTTAAAAAACAAAAACAAATCTGCTTTCTATCCTTCAAACACCTCTTAGGAATTTCCCCTTATTAACTCCATCAGGGTATTGACATGGGAGCAGTCACAACATGGACATCTATTTCCCCACAGCATTCACTACTGGCACCTGTGCAAAGCAGGTGCAAAGAAATATCAAGCTACTGTAGTTAGAAAGATCCTCCTTCACCAGTATTTGTTATACCTTAACACATCTGGAAAAAGAGCAGATCTCTTTAATCCTTCATCAATAACAGTGGTCTTCAAACTTGGCCCTTTTATGACTTGTGGACTTCAACTCCCAGAATTCCTCAGCCAGGCATGCTGGCTGAGGAATTCTGGGAGTTGAAGTCCACAAGTCATAAAAGGGCCAAGTTTGAAGACCCCTGATCAATACCAAATTGCATCTACTAGAGCTCAAAATTACTTGGAGTATGCAAGATTTGGTTCTGCTTTATATGCCAGGCTGTTCCTTTTCTTCTAGTTAAGCAATATTTTTTTCTTAAAAAGGATTATTACTTAAGTAATATCAGAATTTGCAAAATATGAGAGACTAGATTCCAGTCCAAAGAGAGGTACAATCAACTAAGAAAGTAAACAGAGGCAGCAGAAGTGTATGCATTTATCTCAGTTAAACATAGTAAGACTTAGAAAATGGAGACTTGGGAAGCAGGGAAGGAATGCTATTAAAAGCCTGATTTATTTCCTTACTTACATAAAGTAGGATAATAACACTTACAGGGCAGCTTAGTACTCAGCCTGTTATCGGCTGTATTGGCTGTACAAAGCTTCCATCTCATAAAAAAACAACAACTACCCATTCACCACAATCAACCTGAAGCCTCTAAAGCTGATTAACCTACCTCTGCTGGGAGAAGTGTGTATGTGTAGAACTGTTGCAGCTGGGAGACCAATTGATCGCTGGTGTACACCACATATTCCACAAAAGTGCGCGTTAGGGCAAACCAATCTGAGCCACCATCTACCACGATACCCTCTGGGATCTGCCGTTCACCCAGTCGCCACATATGCGAGTCGCATTCATGGAAAAGTCTGTCTAGGCCCTGCTTCTTGATGAACCTATGCGGAGATGAATGCCTCAGATTCACTAGGAAGCAACATGGAATTTTAGGAATTAAGTTTTGAACAAGAAGAGTTCTAGAACACTGCACTTTGAAAACTTTGGATTCTATAATCTGAGAGTTCCAGGCAATCGGCATAATCATATCGATTCACAGCCTTTAGATGTTCCAGCATCAATTTTGGAAACTGGGATTTTTGCAAGATTTCAGTTTGGTCTGATTATCCTTTGGAGGCTTCAAAAGCTGTCATGATTCTGCCAACATTACACGTTACAGGAGCTTTTTTTTTTTTTTTACAGCATTTAAGGAGCAAATGAAGAGAGTTGTGGAAGATGCTGAAAGATCGTTTTTTGATAATTACTGGGAGTAGAAACTACAAAGTGAACATATGATTTTTGACCCAACAAAAACAGACTCCTCTAAATCGGAGCCTGTAATCAAAAATAGCTCCAAAGCTTTTCACTTTTTTGAACACTTTTCGGAGCTCTTTTTGAAGACACGATTCAACAAAAAAACCAAAAAGACAACAAAGAAAAATGCTTATTATTTGTAAATGGATTTCAGATATAGGTTTCAATTATATTCAGGCTCAGATGAATAAAGCAACAGAATCTACTCAAGTGCCATGAACTTGCCATACCACAGGAAAGTGATCATGACTGCAACCAATGGCATCTTTTTAACCATTCATTTGTTTAGCTATTCTTTTCCTCTCTCTTTTTATAGGTAGTACTTAATAGCAGCAAATCTCTAGCTGGCAAAAAAATATGTTAAAAGACAAGAACATCTAAAAATTATTAAGTCATAAAATCTAAACAGAAGATAAAAACAGCCGCACAGGATAAAATGAAAACAAGATTAACAGCAGTGGGAAAAGGCTTCTATGCATTTTAAAAGTTCATAAATATTCAAAGAACAATAGACAACTAAAAGATAGTATAATGAATATTAGAAACTCTATCTGGGTCTGAAGAGAGAAAACAGCAGTTGCCAGGTGAACTAGGCAGTGTATTTACAACTGGGGCCAAGAATGCTCTCTGTCCAACAGCAATTTATCTGGGCTTTTGGGCTTTTTTGCCATTTTTAATCTGTTCCCCAATGTCAAAGCTCTCTGAATTACCTAGCATTATCTCGTCCATGAGACTTCAAAAAATTCTTGTCCCGATATTTTGTTAGAAATGTCACCAGCTCCTCATTGGTCCTGCAGGGGGCAGCAAATCAAAAGAAAGAATTAGAATAAGCAGAAAACTGACAGGAGACTGGTAAGCTTTCTGGGAAAGGCAACCTGATGTACATCCAAATGTTTTGGATTACAAAAACCATAATTCTTCGCCAATGCTTTGGCCAGATGGGCCATGTGATAATTAGTCCAATACACCTTCAAACTTTAGTCATGATCAGGAGAGAGGAAGAATGGAGTTCCAATATATACACATTTATTGAAGCTCTGAAGGTAGACCAGTTATAAAACTGTACCCATACTCTATTGGAAATTCTACTTTGTCAGGGTTCCCATTGTACAAAGAATCTTGTTTATACACTTGCACACAGATAAGACTGTAATAAAATCATTACTAAATCTTTTCAACAATAGAATAGGAAATTCAGCACCAAACGCTTTATCAGGGACAGGAATTTGTTCCTGGATAGACAAATACTAGAACAAATTTATTTAAAGAGGAATTGTTTTAGAGGTCACAGAACAGTTTTTTGGGAAAGGAGAATTTGCACACATGAAATACAGAGTAAAAAAGCCTAAGCTTTAAGGCCATCTTTCCAATCTGGGTGTCCTCTAAATGTGTGAAACCTTCCTAGTAGGATGGCAGAGCTTCTATCCCCAACTGCTTCTAAAAGTGTTTCTGAAGGGACTGTCCTACTCTGAGGAGAATCAGATTAAGACTGAGCTCGAAGACAAGAAAGCAAAAGGGAAAGAGGAAGAGCAGGCAGAGAACAGATGCAAACAGAGCAGAATTAATATGTTCTCATCTATGTAGATTTCCAATTAACCGCATCCAATGTGTTTCCCAACCTTCCTATTTAATAGTCATTTTCCTTGTCTCCTGTATCTTTCAAACAACAGTTATCTAGTTATTGAGAGGCTTTGGCAAAAACCAGGACCAAACCATGTCTCGTATCTATGGAGATTTTCCATCATCCAAGTCATGATTGTCCCAAAGGTCCTTTTCCAAAAGGCAAATGGACTTTCTTGTTTTTTTTTTCTTTGAAAACATTTCACTCCTCATCCAAGAAGGTTCTTCAGTTCTAACCCAAGCCACTCAACACCAAAACTTCTCATATGCTATGGCCTTTTATGTGCTCTGAAATCCCCCGTTTTCCTACCTGCATTTCTGCATTAAATTGGGGGTGGGAAGAAGGAGAACCCTGATGCTTTCCATTCAAATCATCCCAGCTTGTCTCGTATGACCTCAATGCTCATAGGTCAGCAGCAGAACCCTCTGCTGCCTGCTAGACCTTTCCTTTTCCTAAAGACTGACCTGGTAGGGTAGTCGGTGGCACTCAAATTGATGAAATAGTCCCAGGCCCAGTCTGTCACCTCCAGCAGGTCCTTCATGCTGCGCAGGTACATCTTCAGCAAGCTGGCCCCACCCCAGATCGTGACCATGCGCCAGGGGGTAACCAGGATGTTAGGATAATGCTGGGCCAGCTCCATCACTTCACGGTTCAGGTACGTAGAACGCTGCAAGGGAGATGGGAACAGGGAGAGGAAACTGAATGCCAGGGCTTAGGATACCATGAGGATCACCACATCTCCCTTTGGCCCCTTCTTTCCCAGGAGGAGGTCTGGTGACAGTAGTGGTAGTGCAAGCATGTAAAGAAGCCCCAGCAAATCCTGGGGTGCGGCACAGAGACTTACCTCCCTGGTATTGTAGTTTATTTTATTGTTATTGAACCTATTATTCCCCAGGTATAATATGTATAAAGTCTGGAGTTTTTGCTTCTTATCCTTTTGTTATTCTGATAGTTGTTTTAATCCTATTTATGTAAGTTGCCTAGAGTTACCTGAGTTATTGAAGCCACTTACAAATGGATGGATGGGTGGAAATAAATACAGAAATGCTGGCTTTGACAGAAGTTTCGCATGTCAGCTTTCATTTACAAGATACAGAAAAACAGAGTTGAAAGGGACCTTGGAGGTCTTCTAGTCCAACCCCCTGTTCAAGCAGGAAACCCTATACCATTTCAGACAAATGGTTGTCCAGTCTCTTCTTAAAAACCTCCAGTGTTAGAGCACCTACAACTTCTGGAAGCAAATTGTTCCACTGATTAATTGTTCTAACTGTCAGGAAATATCTCCTTAGTTCTAGGTTGCTTCTCTCCTTGATTAATTTCCATCCGTTGCTTCTTGCCCTCCCTTCAAGCGCTTTGGAGAATAGGTTGACCCTCAGATGTTCGGCTTTCACATTAAAAATAAAGTTAGCAATACATTGATAATATCTATATTTTGTAAAAAAAACCAAAAAAAGAACTCCAAAACAAAACCCCACATCTACTAGAACAAGATAGAATTTCTAATAATTGACACAAGACTTTATATTTATCCTTTGCTTCAGAGGTATTGTTCTGCTAACTATGCAAACAGCTGCTTCCTACACTGTCCTCATCTCTGCTTTACCCTTTCAAGTTCTGCAGCCCTTCCACTGAAATTAACCTAATTAATTAGGTTAATTAACCTAATTAACTTGAACAGCATGGTAAATACTGGTACTCTAAACCAACTAAAGTGCAAGACTCCCACTGATTATGCATTAAATCTTAGGATTTGTCTTGCTTTCCCCAAAGGTTTTTCCTTGTGTCCCAACCAAACAGTGATTAGCAGGAAGCAAATCAGGAAACTGTATTCATCCAAAACTCTGGACCTTGTTATTTTAACGCATGCCTTGCTCTAAACTTGTATATTTAAACTGGGGTTTTATCTCAACATGCACCACAAGATGTCTTAGAAGATTTTGCCCATGTGGTTAACCAGCATTTGAACTATCATATTATTATAGAGTAGAAGGCTGATGAAAAATTCTAGGGAATCAATGCAAAATATATACACATAAGAACAGGTTAGGGTTAAAAAACATCCTTTGGGATGCCTTGAAATAGAAATGCCCAACACCACAGAGATAGATTATTTTGTTCATATGATTGAGCATTTTTCCATTGACTTTTGCAACAGATTTCTGGGGGTTTCTAGACAACATAGGGAACAAAGCAGCTGGAGTGTGGATGAAGACAAAACACAACACCAATCATGAAAGTTGGTTTCACCCACAAGGACTACCTGCCATTGAGGAATTTTACTAACTCCCTCAAGGACCCAAAATGAAGACTGTAGCTTCTGGTTTTAATCAAATATTGAATAAAGAAAAATAAAAAGGAATGATCCACGTTGCCTCTTCAGGATACATTATAAAAGAAAATTTTCTTTTTGGAACCAGGGTCCATTCGGTTTTCTGTTTTAAAAGAGGTTTGCAAGGATCTCAGTGCAATAGGACACCCAGTAAAATAGACAGTATCAAAATTTTCAGTCTGATTTTGGCTAGTTGCAAGAAGACATTACGGGGTAAAGTGGACATCAGCTGCCCCTGGATATTCTCAGTGCCAACCCACCCTGTTTGTGGCAGATAGTTTGGGACTTTTGTGTCTGTCTTTCCAGAAGAGAGTAGACCCATGAGGTCTGCTTTATCCAACCATTCATTTATTCATAATAAAATCTAAACCGCATGTAGGAAGGATGTGAGTAAGCAAATTATCACCTCTTCTTTTGTATTGTCTACAGTGCATATACACAGGAAATGAGATCTCCATATCTAGTATAGCAGAGGATAGAAGCTGAGAAATAGATGCTTTGTCAAGAGATCTGTGGACCCGTGGCTCATTTCATGCCATCAATCCCCTCTTAAATGTCACATGCCTTACCTTGTCCACATGTATGTAGAAGAAATGCTGCTGGTGATACACAGCCTTTATGAGGCGCTTCAGCTGGCGAATGGCTCTCCCATGAACCACAAGCATGTATGCAATTCGAACTGGCTTGTCCATGGAGGCCCGGACCATTTTGCTCTCATCCCATTGGATCACAGGACTAACCTTCCCTGCAGAGATTGAAAGGGATCACATCTAGGATCAGCATGGTCTGAATGGAAAAAGAGGGGAGCCACTGAATAAGCTCCTTAGGCCAAGTGATCTTTAGATTACAAGCCAAACTTCTCCTGATCCACACACACAATAAGGAACAACAGCACTAATGGCGACTTCCTATTTTGATCCAATTTGCAGCTGCTGGAAAGCTTGTGCTGTGCTAGAAATCTTAAGAGAGGTGAGCAAAGGCCATGTTCTCAATGCACCATCTCTATCTAACTAGTATGGTTCTCATCTCTATCTAACTAGTATGAGGATAGCCCCATCACTCCAGGTGGCCAAGCAGGATCTTCCTGAGGGTGACAGGCTCTTGCTCACGAAGTCCAGAAAATATTGCTCCTAATACCTTTCCTATTTGAGTAAAAAGGCCCTTTTTAAAAAAATAGAAATGGAAAAACAAAAGGAGAAGGGAAGAGCATAGCAAGGCCAGAAGGAGCTAAAAGGAAAGAATGCTCCTGAGACCCTCATTAAATGTTCCAACTGGGGAACTCCAGGGAAACAAAGAACTCAATTTGTCTCTAAGGTATAGGTGAAAGTTTTTGCCAAGAATCTGTGATTGGATCTTTGATTTACTGTAAAGTATATGCTTGTCACAGTCTTTGTCTATGATAACTACTGTCCTGTTTCTGAGGATTACTGTATCTGTGCAAGCCAGTTATTATACCCTGGGCTCTTTGAGCAGCAGAGCCCTTACTACACCTTGGATCTCTCCCAGTTTTATATCTGCCGTGACAGCTTTTTATGGGCGATTCCCATCTTTATTTTTAGCAGCTCTCTATTTTTATCTCTTTTGCCACAGAATGTTTCAACTGCATACAGTTAAAAAAGCAGGCTTACATTTCCTTTGTTCTTCATAAAGTTTTTTTTTAATTATACTTTATAATTATACTTTTTTTTGACTCAACTGTCATAGCAGAAGACTGATTTCCTCAGTCAGACATTTACCAGAAGGTAAAATGCATTTAATTTATACAGAATGCATTTAATTTAATTTATTTCATTCCTTGTCTCCCATATCTTTTTACATTTGTGTTTGCCAGGCATGCCAGTGATGGTGAATTTATGAAACGTGTGTCAAATGTGACACGCCAAGTCGTTTTGGATGACACACCAGTGTCCACCAACACCTGACAGTAACTACTCTTGAAAGCACATCCTGTTCTTGTGCAATTTTCGGAGGTTGTGCCAGAATGTGATGTGCTCTCATGCAACCCTTGGACCCTCCAGAAGTTGTACGAGAGGGACAGGTTCTTGCGCAACTCTGGAGCCTCCAAAAATCATGTGCAGTTTTGGTGCAGTTTTCAGAAGCTGCAGAGGTTGCAGAGCATTCTCCAAAGCCACTTCAATAACTAAGACCTTGTGCGACCTGGAACAGCCTTGGGTAGGCCGTACAGGCCTGTCAACAGAAAGAAACACTGCCCGAAGGTAAGTGGCATGTGGCCATTCCTGGGGAGTGCTGGACTGCAGGGGCAATTGCCCCTTGGGGAACAGGGTGAGGCAGCCTTTTTGAGTGGCAACAGTGGTGCTAGGGCTTCTACTTCTCCCCTCAGGTCGCTGCTATAGAGCAGAGGTCCCCAACCTTTTGGGCACCAGGGACCGGTTCCGTGGAGAAAGGTTTTTCCGCGGACCGGAGGGTGTGTGGTTTTGTGTGCGGCCTGCATCCCACGGATGGGGCTTTGCTTGTTTGTGTGGCCCGGTTGCTGGCATTCTGTGGCCCGGTACTGGTCCATGGACCAGGAGTTGGGAATCCCTGCTATAGAGCATTGCATGCCAAAACAACCAGACGTAAAGATAGTTTCTTCCCCCCGTGCCATCGCTCTGCTGAACACTTAATTCCCACAGCACTGTCTCATTTCTCATCTTTTCATCTTACCTGCTACCTTCTCCTATTGGTTTCTTATGATTTATCAATTATTGTTTGTAACTTATGATTGATTGTAACTATGAATATGTCCTATGACCTATTACTTGTACACTGTGAGCTTATGCACCGGAGACAAATTCCTTGTGTGTCCTATCATATTTGGTCAATAAAAAGTTCAGTTCAGTTCAGTTCAGTTCAGTTCAGTTCAGTTCAGTTCTATTCTATTCTATTCTATTCTATTCTATTCTATTCTATTCGCCTTGGAGCTACTGCCAAGTGCTGCTATTCGGGTTGGTCTAGATGGGGGAGACAGAGAATTGTTTCTTCTTCTGGGTTTAAGAACTCCCATTTCTCACCCTCCAGATTCAACTCTGCTGCTACCCTAGTCCACACATATTTGCAAATATGGGTTCAAAAATGCACGGGCCTCATGAAACTCAGAACCCAGGATGAGGCCAAGATTGATTGTTGAGATATGTCCAAGATTTACAGTAACTTTCTGGATTCAGAGGTTGTCACTTTGCTACATTTTAATTTTATTTTTGCCAAGAATAACGTTTAGAGTTCTGCCTTCAATTTTTAATGATAGAATTTGGGGAGTTGGGCCCTTATCTCTTTGCAGATATTGGGCCTTAAGGAACAGGAATGTTCACCCTTAAGTTCAGCAAGAGGTCTGAGAACAGGAATGTCTCACAGCAATTGCCACATACTAGAAAAAAGCGGGAAAAGGAAATCATGTTGCACAAAGCCATTCTGATTTGTCTTGGTCGCACATCTTGGGGATTACTGACATCCTAGTAGAGGTGGAAAATTTTCAAGCTAATTTCAAATTCCTCTGCAAGCAATTCCTTAGGATCTGTCTGTCCCTTTTTTCAGAAGGATGCTAGATGAGGCGGCAGAGACAGCAGGAGTGTGTGTGTGTGTGTGTGTAAGAATATAACTCTGTCGTAAGCCATCTCATCACTGCCTTTTCTCCACATACCACTACAGGCAATCCTCGGCTTATGACCACAATTAAGCCCAACAATTTCTGTTGTTAAGCAAGGTAGTTGTTAAGTGTGTTTTGCCCCATTTTACAACCTTTTTTATCCACAGTTGTTAAGTGAATCACCACAGTTAAGTTACTAACACAGTTGTTAAGTGAATCTGGCTTCCTCATTGACTTTGCTTGTTAGCAGATCACAAAAGGTGATCACATGACCCCGGGATACCGCAACCCTCATAAATATGAGTCAGTTGCCAAGGGTCTGAATTTTGATTACATGATTGTGGGGATGTTGCAATGGTTATAAGTGTCAAAAACAGTCATGAGTCACTTTTTTAGTGTAAATTTGAACAGCCACTAAATGAATAGTTGTAAATTGAGGACTACCTGTACTTTCCCCAGAAAGATAGGCTTTCCTGATTAAAAGTCTTGCGGCATTCAGACTACCCCCTTTTCCCTTTTCTCCCCACTTGGCTAGCTGGCAATCTCTGAAACGCTGAAATAATATCGGTGGAGCAACCAACCTCATTACAAGTAAGATTCATTTAGTCAACAGAACAGCCTTAATTGGACAGTCTGTGCCTCCTTTGATCAAGGAGTCTGTCACAGGTTATTATGTTGGTGGCCACAGCTGCGTGACATAGCAGATGTTCTGAATGCAGGAGGTCTGCACTCCAAGGCCTGGGCAGGAGGAGGTGAAGGTTCCCAATCAGCAAGGCTGGGACAGGACTGTGGGTTGGCCTCCCAAGAGGAACGACTCAGGTGTTGGTAAATGGGCCTAAGCCAAGGGGCAGCTGCACTCCTAAATTGTGCATATGCAAAGGATAATCACCCCTGTCCTGATACAAGGGTCGCACACTCCCACTCAGTTCATAGGGAACAATTCCACAAAGGTTCTTCCATTCTCACCTGAGAGCTGGCACTGCCGGGGTACTGACCGTGGCATCAGGTTTCCAGCTTGGTGCAGGCACACCACATTGGCGATCTCCTGCTGACACTGCTTACTGCTAGCTCTGGCTAATGCAGACAGCGCATCTTTGCCTGTGATTTCACACTTGGGAGTGAAGTTGTTCTCCGTAGGCTGCGGGGCCCCTTCCACACTGCCGGTGTCTCCGTGCTGGAACATGGCCAGTTGGGCATCCCTTCTAAGCTGCGTCTGGTTCCTTCGACTGGACGCATCCAAGTAGACTGGCAGCTGGAGGCTCAGTTCCTGCTTCACTGTGACCGCCCTCACCACTTTGGCAACCAGCACGCCAGGATTATCCAGACGATTCTTCCACCTTTCGTGCTTCCTGTTCAAGCTGCCTCGCCGCCCTGCAGAGCTATCTGAATCCTTTGACCCATCACTGTTTTCAAGAAGCTGGGGCTTCCTTTGCTGAATCTGCTCCGGTTCCATCCAAGAGAGAGAGAGAAGGAGAGATACACAAACACAAAACAGACAGGATGGAGAAAGAATTAGCTTGAAGGCAGTTCACTTAGCTACTCTGTTGTGTGTTTTCAAGCAACGTTTTATTTTTCTAGATAAATATTCATTTTGAAAGTTTCACATACCTCATGCATAATGCATCCTGTTTAGTACAGACAATGGAACAGGAAAAATAATAGTAATGGGCACCAATATGAATTTGTTAATCGTGTCCGTAGAACAACCCAGGATTAAAAAAATATAGCATTTGCATCTACTATCAGCCACTATGGCTGGAGAAGTCCACTTTAAAATCCCCCCTTCAGCCATGAATAAATGCAGTACATACTTAGCTATTCACGACATGAACAGACAGCTCACGACTGGCGTTGCAGGTCTGCAATTGCTCTCTAAGGTAGGCGACTGTTATCCCCATTTTACATTAAGTAAAATGAGGCAGAAAGACTGTGTGGCCCTGGGCTATGCAAATAAAGGACGATATGAAGGACAAAAGTGGGTTTATAGTGAAAACGATAAAAATGCAGTGCATTTTGATGTAAATCAATCACAATTTTGTTCAGATTTAGAAAAATGTGAGTTTCTTGCATGAATGAGGGACTTACGGGCTACAACCAGATGCTTTGCGTGTTCCGTCCAAAACAAGTTCCATTCAGCTGAATATAGCAATAGCAATAGCACTTATACCACACAAAGGATTCTAGAACATATGATTTATAAATGTGTTCTATCTTCCTGAACTACATATCCCTGAGAAGATAACTATCAGTCCAAAACCTGAATAAAAACCATCAAGCTTAAGTGCCTATCTGCTGAACCATGTCAGTTTTGACATTTCAGAATGGAAGGGCTCATCTACATACAAAAATGTTGAGAGAGGATAAGAGCATGTGGCTTTAACAAGGGTTGTCGTCAAGGTTGACTCAAGTAGCATTGTTGCCTGGGAAGCAATTAATTCTTCTGTATGGAGCCCACCCCCCCTTTTTTTTAATTCCTCACTTGCACAGGAGTGGAAATTGTCTCTGCCCACGTGAGCACATTCTCTGCTGGTCATCGTCCTTCTTCACTGCCATCTTTCAACTTACCAATTCCCATTAAAAGGCATCTACCACAAGGACTCCAAATCTTTTCTATCTCTTTCCAAATAAGAGGAAGGTGAAATCATTGGCAAGGTGATAAACCTCTTGGCTAGAATCCAACCCTTTCCCTTTGCTAGGTGCTACCAGAGAGCTTCTCTCCACCTCCCTTCGTCGCCCAACTTTCCTTTCTTCCTCCTCCCTGCAAAGATTTGGGTGCTGATGAGAATCTTGACCTCTTGGTAGACATGGGATTGTCTTCCATAAGAAGGGAATTCCCATGTGAGTGAAACAAAAGACTTAACAAAGCCAGAAACAGGCTGTGCCGATGAAGTGTCAGTCCATCAGGCAGCCACAGTATAACTGTTCAGTGTCCTCCACCTAAGAGAGGCCATGCTACAGTGGTCCAATTGGAGCTTCTGATGGCTACTTCTCATGTACAGCAGAAGGTTAACATATGAGTATTTTTTTCACTTTCCATAGAAAACAGCATGTTTCTGATGGATCACCTTGATCCTGCTTCAGCCTGCCTCAGCAGTTGGTTGGCACCAAGATGGAGGCTGTGCTGTGAGGACATCTTCTCAGTGAACAATAAGAGGGGCATTAGAGCAAAAAGACTATGTGGATGAGATGGACTAAGGATGACAAACAGAACACATCTCTTTCCAATAATACATCCATTCAAAATTATGTGTCCTGACAATTTTCATCAAAGTTTTTTCAGAGGCTGAAAGCACAGAGCCCGTTTTGTGCAGTGTTGATTTTCCATCCTTTGCTCTACTAGAATCTCTAGACAAACTGTTTCTCTTTTTTTCAATATCCTGTTATAAAAGCCTAAACTGAGTCTCAAAAGTACATTCATGAAATAAATTGATGGGTTTATCAATTTATAGGTTCAATGAATACCGTTCAATTTAATTGGGAATTGACACCAATTCATAGCATAGATTTGCCTTTTCCAACCACGTGCAATTGGCTTTCTTATTATTATGGTCCTTCAAATTTACCCTGATTTGTGATGACTGTGTGGAAAGTCTGTGCAGTTTTCTTGCCAATACTGTGTCTTTTTCCCAGGTTGAGTGACAGTGAGTGGTCCAAAGTCACTGTTTCATGCAGGACCAGAAGTCAGGTTTCCCTGCTCCCCATCTAGTGTATTTAACCACCACACTAACTGTCTCTCTCTCTTTCTCAAAGCAACTTTACTTTGTTGATTTGATGAAATTTATATTCTCTGCATAAATGGAAGGGGCGTTGGTCTTACCTGAACGCCATTTCTCAGCATGATGATGGATAATCCACTTGATTGGGTTTCCTGAAGTCCCTTGTACCCAATAAGACTAAGTCTGA